CTTGAGGCAGTTTTTCAGGATATTTTTAACGGTTTCGCATACACTTTTTTGTAAGTGATTTTCTTTAAAGTATTATTGTAATAAAGATATATTAAGACCAGAACCATATTCACTTAATGTTTTCATAGATTTTTTACGGGTACCGATATAATATATTTTTCTTAAAATTACTAGTGCACTAATGATATGTTAAGATTGTTGTTCTAGGTCAGAACCATGTTTATTAAATACTGTTTTCAGGGATCTTTTTGTGGTTCAAATCTTCATTAAATTATGTTTTTAGAGCTCTTTTATGTTTCCACGGCTCTTTTAGTAGTTCTTATATACACTTATACTAAAGATATATAAAGATTGAGGTCAAGGTTGAGGTCAAAAACATGTTTATAAAATCGTGTTTTTTTAGTATATCCGATATATAATTTTTTGCCGGTACTATGAAATTTCCAGTATTATGAAGGTTTTTTTTTATGAAGCTCGGTGTTATTTATTAGAGATTATTGTATTTTTCTTTATATTTGAATCAGCAGTTCAAGTTATATTATTGTTTAATTTGACAACTTTGATTGCTTAGTTCCTGTCAGTTTGGATATATATGGAACAGAGAAATATATTCGTCGGTATATTCTAATTATTGTGCGTAATTATGTTTTTGATATTGTTTGATCAAAAACATAAAAAGCTAAGAGTAAAAATACTAAAAATTTATTCAGAAAACATAAAATTAGTCACAAGATAATATGGATTTAATAATTTTCTACATTGTAAATTACTACAACCATTATGCCACCCATAAAATGCTAAGATTCATTGTCATAGTGTCGTTCTTAAAACTGTTACTTCAAGCAAATGCAATAAGTCTCAAGGGTTTATGTTTACACACCTAAAATGAATATTAACTAAAATACAGCACACACTATTAACATATATGAGACAAACTTATAAACAGAATACTATTAACATAGTTTATACGAAGATAAATAAATAGTCAACATTTTTTAAACTAATTAAGTCAGTAAATTATTCTCATTACTAATAGACTTGTTTTTTTTTCATAAAATATATCCCTTAACACAGTTAATTATATTGTTAATGAGTAAATAATTTACAAAATCTCATTTTATTATAAATTAGTTCCAACGAATATTTTGTATAATAAATTAAAATGTATTTAGTATATTTAAAAAAATTTCTATAGTACATAAGACAACATCGTTGTTGTTGCAAATGTGCTACATTTGTCTGATATAAGAATACAAGACAAAAACAAGAAGAGAACAAACAGAATTGCATCAATAATGGCAATGAAAGTGAAGTATAAAATAATTGTTCAATGAAAGTCTCATTATGCTTTAAAAGTTATTATTTGTATAAACATTCTGAATGGTAAAAAAAAAATCAATATGCAATATACAATGCATGTAAATTAAAATAAGTTGGCTTCTAGTCACGGTTGCCACTTATGGTACTTTAGTACCAAAATTGGTACTTTTTTTTTTATTTTTTTCGTTTGGTACTCATGTTTAAAAAAATAGTACATTTCTGACGACCCAACTTTATTGTGGATATTTCCAATTAATTTTTTTTATAAATGCAACTTTGCACTATTTTATATTTTGTTCATTTATAACACTATGAAAAACACAGAACGAGAAAACAAAAAGGTCCAAAAAAATTTTGGACCTTTTTTTACAGAAATGGTACCTTTTTAAACCAATTTTGGTACAGAAAAAAATTTTCAAGTGGCAACCGTGCTTCTAGTAAAGTAACTTTATATTGACTACATCAAAAGATAGAGTACAAGCTGAGAATAAAGCCTATTATGGATTAAAACGATTAATTACAAGTAATGCGCAAAACATTGAAGCACTTAGTAATAACATAAGGCTACGAGACATGGAGATTAACTAAAACTGAAGCAAGCAAGGTAGCAGTGTTTGCAAGGAAAATACGCAGAAACATTTTTGGCCCCGTGAAAGAAAACGGGTTGTATCGCATAAGATACAAGAAAACGGGTTGTATCGCATAAGATACAACCACGAGCTAGAACGGCTAGCTGAAGGTGATACAATCAACAAATTTATGAAAAAGCAGCGATAAAGATAGGTTGGACATGTGATAAGAATGCCGGATATGAGAGTACAGTTTAAGATTTATGAGAACGAAATAGGAAGCAGCATATGAGATAGTTTAAATTTATTTTGGTCTCATATTATATTACAAACAACAACAATATTCAGTAGTAACTGTATTTTTAGATAAATAATTTAGTGTGATCTATTTACTTTGTCAATATAAATTGTTAGTTATTAAAGTGAGAAGTCAATATTTCATAAAGTTTGTTTATAAAAACAAATTAAATAAGGTCAAGTACTGGTAAAAAAAATTGTAATACAAAGTTAAAAAAATAGTGAATTCAAACTATACAATTATTGTTTGAAAACAAATGTAACTGCCAAATGTTTTCTTTTAACAATATTTGAATACAAAATTATACTATAATAATGTCATATATTTGTAAATAATGTCAATATGATGACATATTTACAAAAACCATTTTACCTCCAGTATATATCAGTATATCAGCTACTAAATATATACTGTAATTAAACACAGCAATACAAGTACATAGTCCCTAGGCATATTATCTAAAAAAACGAAACATAATAAAATACTTCATTCTTTAAAAACCTTCCCAAAGAATTCTTTACAATTCATTTATTACTTGATGTGTTATCACTACATTGTGTAGTCATTTTTTTTATAAGTCAATTTTATACTAGACAATTCCAGTAAGTAAATGCATTCACAGTTATAAAATATACCATGTAATAACGCCTAATATCTCCCGGGAAGAACGACGACTTCCATGTGCACCAACAACTGTCTGAGTTCAATTGAGATTAGGATATATCAATAACTGTCAATAAATGCTTGTGCCTTAACTGCAGCTTTACTTTCTATAATGTAGCTCATCTGTTTTCTTGATCCTACAGGCACACAAGCTTGAGTCCAATTGATCTTTGGACCTACTCTATTAGTAGGTTTCTCCACGTTGCTTCTGATTGACTTCAATTTAAACCCCGTCGTTCCTTAGTTTATTCTATTATTATTATATACTACACTATTATATTATTATTTATTATATTTGTATTATTTATTTTATTTATTAGTGCTTAAGTGCACTGGCTCAACTAGCTTCAACATAATATTTATTATTATTATTGTACTCCTAAACAATCCACTCCCTTCTTACAATAACACGATCTACATCCTGACGCATGTTATTGTAATTTCCTCAATATTATTTGCTTAATATATCTTTGCGGGTTACAAAAACAACAAGATCATTTTTTCTACTTAAAGAAGGTTTTACGACTTAAGCAGTTTAGGAGTTGTTATCTAGAAAATCAAAAATTTATGCTATACGTAATCCTTATAGAACCACTAAGAACTGAAATATGAATGCATTTTGATTATTATGGGCAGAATATATAGGTACTCAGAACCGGTAAGAACAGCACAGTTAATATAATAAACGTGGAATGTTTGAGATTGAAGGAATGTGATCTAGCTGAATGGATATAGACAATGTAGACAATTGGCATGTAGCACTGAAAGACAGGAAACTGTTAGAAGGCTGTGAGAATTACTAATGATGACTTAACCACTAAAATAATAAGACAAACAATACAACATTAGCTTGATAATGTGGGCTTAGACGTAGAGAAACGACAATTTATATATTAATTTATAATAGCACTTTATAGTGATGCACAAAGGTGCGTAACCGAGGACGAGGTGTATAACCGAGGTCTAAAGTCATCATCAAAAAACAAACTTTAGACTAAAGTCAAAATATCGAATAATAAAAATTGTTGCAAAATTAAATTGTGATTTCTTTTTCTTAATTTTTATTTTTAATTTATAACTTATTATAAATTTATTAATTTATAAAAAAGTTTTGACCAATTAGCCTGAAAAAAACACTTTTATAAATGAATAAATAAATTTGAAAACTTTTAACCAAAAATAATAAATAAGTGCAATAAATAAATATTTACATAAGTGTAGTGCAAAAAATCCCTAGGAAATTTTAATTTACTTTACCTCAATTTACTCGAACTCGTAGCCGGCCTTAATACTACATTTGTGAACTTAATTTTGAATAAAATGAAAAATGCGCTTTTTTTACTCATAAGTAAAAAATGACGTCACGGGAGCTGTACGGGAAGCTCTGTGCAACAAACGTCAAATAGAAATTTTCGCACATGCGCCAAAACTAAAAACAAAAGAAAAGAAAGATAAAGAAAAACGCCGAAATACAAGAACAAGAAAATACAACTGTCAAATGCAGATGTTAACATTGTGCAATTGTCCTTCGTTGTTGTTGTTGTTGGTGCTTTACTTTGCTTTGCTTTACTTTACTTTGGTTTGATGAGTATCGGTAAATATGAAGGAAATTAATTTAATTACCGTACACCATCGATTTAACAAAGTAGAAAATTTGTTATTTAAAGAAAATGCAGAACGGGCATATTCTCACAATCAACTGGCAGTGTAGTTCTTCATGTACGTAATTACATATACACACGAACATATGACGTAAATACGTGCACCTCTATATTCTTTAATATATTTAAATTTATGCATGTGTACTGTTGTTAAGGTCGCGTGCCAGTTTTGCTCAGAAAATTTGTGTATGGATTTAGTGCAATTCAGTCGCTAAGTAAATACTTGACATATTGTGGTAGTTGCTGTTCGGTTGGTTAACAATTAGCCAAGTGCCTTGCAGTGAGCACTGCAGCAGACGTACAACGCCCTCAAATTATGAAGCATAGCGTAACGCGTAAAATTGGCCAGAAGTATTTAAATCAATTACCATACTGGGCACAGCTGCATCCAGACGTATAAATTCCCATTGATTTTTTATTATCCCATTAATATATATAAATAACAAAAAAAAAAAATTAAATAACATTAATTTTTGGGTTTTTTTACAGGCTTCATTGGAGGAAATACGTAAGATAGCTTCACGTCTGTGTCGAGATTACTTAACGGGCAGATGGAAGGTGGTTAGCGAAGACGATTTGATTGTCAAACGCATTAGGTAAGATATTGTGCAAATATTGTGCAGGAATACGCAACAATACTGGTTATAATATAATTCTATTTTGTTTGTTGCAGTGGTGGTTTGTCCAATTTTCTTTATTACATAAGGCTGCCACAAGATGAAGCGGCTAATGTTGACGATAGTGTGCACGATACTGCATACGACACGGATGGTCTCTCCAACGACGATAAAAATAGAAATGAGCATGATTACATAGATTTGGGTCTGGGTGAGAGCACCAATATCAAACGGAAACGTACTGACAGTGGCGACTCTTTCACCACAAAAGCTGAACCAAAAGAGGTTTGCCAAATATTACTAAAATTATAATAAAATAAAATTATTATATATATCGCATTTTTATAATATTTTATTAGGTACTAATACGCGTATATGGTCAAACACATGGTGAACATGCATTGGAGTCCATGATATCGGAATCTGTTGTGTTTGCATTGCTAAGTGAACGCAATTTTGGCCCAAAATTATTGGGAATATTTCCCGGTGGCCGCATTGAACAATATATACCAGTGAGTATGTAGTTTTTAATTTATTTCACTGCCGAACATTCAAATTAATTTAATTTTAATTGTATATTTATAATTTACTTATATGTTATAAAAAAAACAATATACTGCTTAAAAAGTCTCATTATTAATACACATATTATTTAGCGATTATATTAATTATAATCATTTTTTAATCTTTCAACTTTGTTCAATGATGTTGTTAAATTTTTTTATTTATGTTCAAGTGAGTTTTATAAACTTTTGAATTGATTCGGTTCAGTGGTACGAGCATAGCCTAACTTTTAGTTTGGATTTCATGCCAATATAAAATTTTCAACTAATTTTCTACAATATATACATATATTAACCGCCCTCGATGTTATTTCCGTTCTAATATTCAACCATCGTTCAGTTAAAGCACTAAAAAGTCGTAGGTTTCAGTTCAATATCAATTAGTTTGAGAAGTAATTTACAATCCTGATTTATGTATATTGAAATATATATATATAGACAAATTATTAAGTTTTTTTAATATTTAAATTAATTTTTTTAAATATAAAAATAATATAATATAAATAGTATAATTCCTGATTTGAATATAAATAGGGATTGAAAAATAAAATTATTTATGTAATTAATTATTTTTTATATATAAAAACTAAAATTAATCATATAAACATAAATTTATATACTTTTTTAAATCATCATCATGAAAATCATGAAAAAGTTCTGAAATGAATAGGTGTTGAATCAAAACTTTCGACTTTAAAGTAATTGAATATATTTACTACATTTATATATCATTTATAATATACATATTTATTTATATATATATATATATATATATATATATATATATATATATAAAATTTATTTTAAAAACTTATTGCAAATTCAATCGGATAAAACCAACAAATGTGAAAAATTTGTTGACTCTGTCTCGTACTGCACTATTGAACTATTGGAACTACTTGAACTATTGGAAATGGTGAGACATTTAAATATAAGTAAATGTGACAGTCCAAAAAAGTTCACTGAGTTAATAACTCACCTGTGCAACGGTTGATTTCATTTCCATTAAAATAAACATCTATTGTATATATGTATTTTTATTTCAATATTTAGTTCAGATCTGTTTCTTAATATATAATATTTTAATAAAAATGAAAAATTTTATATAAATATAATTTTATAAATAATTATTGCGATTTCATTAACTATCAAAGAGCACTCCCCAGACTAAATCCACTATTCACAGTCCATTTTACATTTTATAAGATCATATTTACTCACACATAGTGTACAGGACTTTCAATATTCAATTTAATTGTTAAACGGTTTCCGGTTAAGACTTTGACGTAATGAATATAAAGTAAATCGGAAGTCAGTACAAAATACTTTAAAAGCGTCAACTAATATCCTGGATATCATGTTTTAAGTTTTCTTCTCTTTAAAGTTTGGCTACGAATGTGATGCATTCTGGTAATATTTAGATTCAAGTTTGTCATCGAGTTCGAATGAAGATGTCATCTAAGATTTTGTTAAGTTTCTTGGATGAAAAATAGGAATAAAATAAAGTTATCAATTATAAAAGTATCTGACTACATTATCAATAATTAAATAAGTTTAAAGTACAATTAGGCACACCTCATTTAGCAATATGAAGTAAAATAAACTTACCCAAATTTCTAGTCTTCAAATGAGAAGAATTTTTGTTAACCATTACTTCTGTATTTAAATGTTGTAAGTGATAAGTTTAAAATTGATCCTTTCTTCGGATAATATGGCACTCCCAGACTAAATCCACTACTCACAGTCTATTTCACATTTTATAAGATCATATCTACTCACACATAATGTACAGGACTTTCAATATTCAATTTAATTGTTAAACGGTTCCCGGTTAAGACTTTGACGTAATGAATATAAAGTAAATCGAAAGTCAGTACAAAATACTTTAAAAGTGTCAACTAATATCCTGGATATCATGTTCTAAGTTTTCTTCTCTTTAAAGTTTGGCTACGAATGTGATGCATTCTGGTAATATTTAGATTCAAGTTTGTCATCGAGTTCGAATGAAGTTGTCATCTAAGATTTTGTTAAGTTTCTTGGATGAAAAATAGGAATAAAATAAAGTTATCAATTATAAAAGTATCTGACTACATCATCAATAACTAAAAAAATTTAAACTACAATTAGGCACAACTCATTTACCAATATGAATTAAACCAAACTTACCCAAATTTCTGGTCTTCTAATGAGAAGACTTTTTGTTAACCATTATTTCTGTATTTAAATGTTGTAAGTGATAAGTTTAAAATTGATCCTTTCTTCGGATAATATGGTACTCCTCAGACTAAATCCAATACTCACAGTCCATTTTACATTTTATAAGATCATATTTACTCACACATAGTGTACAGGACTTTCAATATTCAATTTATGTGTTAAACGGTTTCCGGTTAAGACTTTGACGTAATGAATATAAAGTAAATCGGAAGTCAGTACAAAATACTTTAAAAGCGTCAACTAATATCCTGGATATCATGTTCTTAGTTTTCTTCTCTTTAAAGTTTGGCTACGAATGTGATGCATTCTGGTAATATTTAGATTCAAGTTTGTCATCGAGTTCGAATGAAGATGTCATCTAAGATTTTGTTCAGTTTCTTGGATGAAAAATAGGAATAAAATAAAGTTATCAATTATAAAAGTATCTGACTACATTATCAATAATTAAATAAATTTAAACCACAATTAGGCACAACTTATTTACCAATATGAAGTAAAGCAAACTTACCCAAATTTCTAGTCTTCTAATGAGAAGACTTTTTGTTAACCATTATTTCTGTATTTAAATGTTGTAAGTGATAAGTTTAAAATTGATCCTTTCTTCGGATAATATGGCACTCCTCAGACTAAATCCAATACTCACAGTCCATTTTACATTTTATAAGATCATATTTACTCACACATAGTGTACAGGACTTCCAATATTCAATTTATGTGTTAAACGGTTCCCGATTAAGACTATGACGTAATGAATATAAAGTAAATCGGAAGTCAGTACAAAATACTTTAAAAGCGTCAACTAATATCTGTATATATGTTTTTATTTTTCTTCTCTTTAAAGTTTGTTTTCGAATGTTATGCATTCTGGTAATATTTAGATTGAAGTTTGTTATCTGTTCGTATGCATATTGATCTATTATTTTGTTAAGTTTGTTGGTGAGACATTTGAATATAATTAAATTGTCAGTTATAAAAGTTTCTGAGTATATCATCTGTAACTTGATTTATTTCCATTACAATTAACATCTATTTATATATGTATTTTATCAAATTTAGTCAGATCTGTTTCTAATGAGAAGACTTTTTGATAACCATTATTTCTGTATTTAAATGTTGTAAGTGATAAGTTTAAAATTGATCCTTTCTTCGGATAATATGGCACTCCTCAGACTAAATCCAATACTCACAGTCCATTTTACATTTTATAAGATCATATTTACTCACACATAATGTACAGGACTTTCAATATTCAATTTATGTGTTAAACGGTTTCCGGTTAAGGCTTTGACGTAATGAATATAAAGTAAATCGGAAGTCAGTACAAAATACTTTAAAAGCGTCAACTAATATCCTGGATATCATGTTTTAAGTTTTCTTCTCTTTAAAGTTTGGCTACGAATGTGATGCATTCTGGTAATATTTAGATTCAAGTTTGTCATCGAGTTCGAATGAAGATGTCATCTAAGATTTTGTTAAGTTTCTTGGATGAAAAATAGGAATAAAATAAAGTTATCAATTATAAAAGTATCTGACTACATTATCAATAATTAAATAAATTTAAACCACAATTAGGCACAACTTATTTACCAATATGAAGTAAAGCAAACTTACCCAAATTTCTAGTCTTCTAATGAGAAGAATTTTTGTTAACCATTACTTCTGTATTTAAATGTTGTAAGTGATAAGTTTAAAATTGATCCTTTCTTCGGATAATATGGCACTCCCAGACTAAATCCACTACTCACAGTCTATTTTACATTTTATAAGATCATATTTACTCACACATAGTGTACAGGACTTCCAATATTCAATTTATGTGTTAAACGGTTCCCGATTAAGACTTTGACGTAATGAATATAAAGTAAATCGGAAGTCAGTACAAAATACTTTAAAAGCGTCAACTAATATCCTGGATATCATGTTCTTAGTTTTCTTCTCTTTAAAGTTTGGCTACGAATGTGATGCATTCTGGTAATATTTAGATTCAAGTTTGTCATCGAGTTCGAATGAAGATGTCATCTAAGATTTTGTTAAGTTTCTTGGATGAAAAATAGGAATAAAATAAAATTATCAATTATAAAAGTATCTGACTATATCATCAATAACTAAAAAAATTTAAACTACAATTAGGCACAACTCATTTACCAATATGAATTAAACCAAACTTACCCAAATTTCTGGTCTTCTAATGAGAAGACTTTTTGTTAACCATTATTTCTGTATTTAAATGTTGTAAGTGATAAGTTTAAAATTGATCCTTTCTTCGGATAATATGGTACTCCTCAGACTAAATCCAATACTCACAGTCCATTTTACATTTTATAAGATCATATTTACTCACACATAATGTACAGGACTTTCAATATTCAATTTATGTGTTAAACGGTTTCCGGTTAAGGCTTTGACGTAATGAATATAAAGTAAATCGGAAGTCAGTACAAAATACTTTAAAAGCGTCAACTAATATCCTGGATATCATGTTCTTAGTTTTCTTCTCTTTAAAGTTTGGCTACGAATGTGATGCATTCTGGTAATATTTAGATTCAAGTTTGTCATCGAGTTCGAATGAAGATGTCATCTAATATTTTGTTAAGTTTCTTGGATGAAAAATAGGAATAAAATAAAGTTATCAATTATAAAAGTATCTGACTACATCATCAATAACTAAAAAAATTTAAACTACAATTAGGCACAACTCATTTACCAATATGAATTAAACCAAACTTACCCAAATTTCTGGTCTTCTAATGAGAAGACTTTTTGATAACCATTATTTCTGTATTTAAATGTTGTAAGTGATAGGTTTAAAATTGATCCTTTCTTCGGACAATAAAGCACTCCCCAGACTAAATCCAATACTCACAGTCCATTTTACATTTTATAAGATCATATTTACTCACACATAGTGTACAGGACTTCCAATATTCAATTTATGTGTTAAACGGTTCCCGATTAAGACTTTGACGTAATGAATATAAAGTAAATCGGAAGTCAGTACAAAATACTTTAAAAGCGTCAACTAATATCCTGGATATCATGTTCTTAGTTTTCTTCTCTTTAAAGTTTGGCTACGAATGTGATGCATTCTGGTAATATTTAGATTCAAGTTTGTCATCGAGTTCGAATGAAGATGTCATCTAATATTTTGTTAAGTTTCTTGGATGAAAAATAGGAATAAAATAAAGTTATCAATTATAAAAGTATCTGACTACATTATCAATAATTAAATAAATTTAAACTACAATTAGGCACAACTCATTTACCAATATGAATTAAACCAAACTTACCCAAATTTCTGGTCTTCTAATGAGAAGACTTTTTGTTAACCATTATTTCTGTATTTAAATGTTGTAAGTGATAGGTTTAAAATTGATCCTTTCTTCGGATAATATGGCACTCCCAGACTAAATCCACTACTCACAGTCCATTTTACATTTTATAAGATCATATTTACTCACACATAGTGTACAGGACTTCCAATATTCAATTTATGTGTTAAACGGTTCCCGATTAAGACTTTGACGTAATGAATATAAAGTAAATCGGAAGTCAGTACAAAATACTTTAAAAGCGTCAACTAATATCCTGGATATCATGTTCTTAGTTTTCTTCTCTTTAAAGTTTGGCTACGAATGTGATGCATTCTGGTAATATTTAGATTCAAGTTTGTCATCGAGTTCGAATGAAGATGTCATCTAATATTTTGTTAAGTTTCTTGGATGAAAAATAGGAATAAAATAAAGTTATCAATTATAAAAGTATCTGACTACATTATCAATAATTAAATAAATTTAAACTACAATTAGGCACAACTCATTTACCAATATGAATTAAACCAAACTTACCCAAATTTCTGGTCTTCTAATGAGAAGACTTTTTGTTAACCATTATTTCTGTATTTAAATGTTGTAAGTGATAAGTTTAAAATTGATCCTTTCTTCGGATAATATGGCACTCCTCAGACTAAATCCAATACTCACAGTCCATTTTACATTTTATAAGATCATATTTACTCACACATAGTGTACAGGACTTCCAATATTCAATTTATGTGTTAAACGGTTCCCGATTAAGACTTTGACGTAATGAATATAAAGTAAATCGGAAGTCAGTACAAAATACTTTAAAAGCGTCAACTAATATCCTGGATATCATGTTCTTAGTTTTCTTCTCTTTAAAGTTTGGCTACGAATGTGATGCATTCTGGTAATATTTAGATTCAAGTTTGTCATCGAGTTCGAATGAAGATGTCATCTAAGATTTTGTTCAGTTTCTTGGATGAAAAATAGGAATAAAATAAAGTTATCAATTATAAAAGTATCTGACTACATTATCAATAATTAAATAAATTTAAACCACAATTAGGCACAACTCATTTACCAATATGAAGTAAAGCAAACTTACCCAAATTTCTAGTCTTCTAATGAGAAGACTTTTTGTTAACCATTATTTCTGTATTTAAATGTTGTAAGTGATAAGTTTAAAATTGATCCTTTCTTCGGATAATATGGTACTCCTCAGACTAAATCCAATACTCACAGTCCATTTTACATTTTATAAGATCATATTTACTCACACATAGTGTACAGGACTTCCAATATTCAATTTATGTGTTAAACGGTTCCCGGTTAAGACTTTGACGTAATGAATATAAAGTAAATCGGAAGTCAGTACAAAATACTTTAAAAGCGTCAACTAATATCCTGGATATCATGTTCTAAGTTTTCTTCTCTTTAAAGTTTGGCTACGAATGTGATGTATCCTAGTTATGTCTAGATTTAAGTTTGTCATCGAGTTCGATTGAAAATTTTATTTGAGATTGACCAATTTCATTCTATTCATTTTTCGAAATTCATCACTTCCAGAGTGATTCAAACTGATGACCATTCATTTCTTTCTTTTGACGCGGTAAAGACTTACTTCACTCTTCACATCCAGTTTTACATTTTACGAGAACGCATACACACATAATTATGGATTATGTATAAGACCTTCAACACTTAAACGGTTCCTATTGAAGACTGTGACAACAGAAATTCAAAGTCGGTAGCGTAGTTTTGGTACTTTGAAAGCGTCAATTATTAATATTGTTTTTTTCCTTAAGTACTTCTAATTTAGTTACGAATATGAGTTTGAGCCCTAGGTAATATCTTAATTCAAGTTTGCGGCCAAATTTGAAGCAGTATCTTTTGAGTTTTTGTTAAGTTTAAGTTGAGTTTTTAAAATGTAGGTATATGTAAAACTTTATCAGAATTATCAAAAAAAATTCTTTCGCATTTCCTGAACGAAATTGAGGATTCCTGGATTCAATATTTCTAATATTTCTAATTGTACTCATGTTGTTATTATTTAATGTCAATTATAGTTTTAAAGAGAAATTGCTCCTATCAACAACTTAAGTGTTTTAGCCCCTTAAAATTTATACCTTTTTATTGCCCTGCATTCCATGAGTTGGTACAGGTTCCATTGGATTTTTATATTATTTCCTCAATCCAAATAAAGAGAACGATGAGAGTTGATGACGTATCCTATAAATAACGAAACTGAATTTTAATTTAATAAGGATTAGTTTTTGTCTAATTATATGTACATACTTATTTTAGGCCCTGTATGCAATATTATATGTCAAAAAAGTTAATGTATTGAGCCACTTTTAATTTTTTTAAACATATTAACCTAAAATTTAATTTTGAATAACAACTAAAAAAAATATATGAATAACAAATAAAATTTATTAGGGGTATCAAATTTTTTTCAATTCCAAAGCCTACTTTTTTAGGTTGTAGAGTTTTTAATAAAAAAAACTTGTTTCGAAATTTTAAATTGTCAAAAAAAAAAACATTTTTATGTTTTTTAAAGATTACAAAAATATAAAAGTGAATTAAAAGTGCATGTCGGCACTCAGTAGTCACGGTTTAGCAATCCATTAAGTACTAAGATTGGCTATACAATTTTTTTTTATGAGTACGGTTATCCCTAATATAGAATAGTTCAGATTCGATCTGGCTTATGGACTGTTATAATACTATAGAAATATTTCCCACCCATTTCTGATGGACTGACTGATTTCAGTCACAAATCTTAAAAGGTTTGTATATAGCTTTGAGAATTCTTCAAAGAAGAAATCTAGGAAGTTAACTATTTATTTCCACACAGGTGGGCAGTGACATACAACACGTTTGCCAGTTTCCCCCATGTCATCATACTGATAACTTCTACAGAACATACCCACCAAATAATGATTGATTACGAAGGACGTAAGGAATAACACTAATTCCTGATAAGGGGTTGTTTTTTTGATAATATAGTGTTCGTTGAAAGTGTAGTGTCGTATTTGATCAGGTCATCGGTCCAATAGTTTTATTCGATATCAAAGTAATATGGAACTCATTCAGTTTATCTTTACATTTTTAAGTAATTTGATGACAATCTAGTGATACACTTCACCTTTCTAACAACCTCATGGATGGCACTACATTTGGTTTGGAATGCATAGTAAAAATCTTAACATTTTTATATAGTTTTTGCAAATTTTTTTGGTCAAATTTTTAATTGTTAGTAAAAATAAAAATTAAGAAAAAGAAACCACGTTTTATTTTACAATAATTTTTACTTGATCGATATTTTGACTTTAGTCTAAAGTCATCAAGAATCATCAAGAAACTAAACATTATCTTAAAATACTAATCAACCTATTAATATCTAATGGCGAACAAAAGAAGTTATTTTTAACAACAATAAAAAATTTGACCAATTAGCCTGGCAAAACACTTTACTAAAATCGTTTGGTAATTAAATAATAAATATTTAAAATTTTTATTTAATCTACTTCGTGACTTGTAATTACAATTTAGTTATTCACTCTCTAATAACACATTTAAGATCAGTAGTCTTAAATCCATTAGATACTGCAATTAGTTGCTAAAACTTGTTGGTTAGTGTAAGTGTAAGAAACGTCCTTATCCCGAAAATTTTTTTTTACACCCCTTATCCAAAACACTTCTAGAAGGCAAGGAAGCTATAGCCGGACTGGCCTGTAACCTCGGTTTTAGTATGTACTGGATTCCTGGTCATAAAGATATAGAGAGAAATGAGACAGTTGGTGCTATTACTAATAATGGCGCAAGACTTTCAGAGGATTAACCAAGCGAAGTACTTAGATCTTTGAAACAGATTCATAAACTCATGGACGAGCGCATGACAAGGAGAGTAAAGGAAAGGTAACGAAATTTAACCACCTGTATAATAGCTAGAATTATGTATAGACATATATACGACAGAAAGTACACTGAGAATGTTATATCCTTTAGTAAAAAGAACTGTAGAACATTAATTTGTGTGTTGACACTGAAATGCAATGAGCCGGATGCAAAGGTAACTCTGGAGTATCTGGAGCAACAGAGCATTTTTACCCAAAGATATGTACTTCGAAGAATTCACATTGATTATTTTTCAACAAATCGACAAAAATGTTTTCACAGCAAATACTATAGGTCCAGGAAAAGAATATATTACTATTTCGTACCTTATGCAGGATACCTTTGATTTCTTTTCGATCGATAGTCTCTTTCTTTAATCGAACAAAACAATATTTTTTTCTTCTCATTTACCTTGATTGAAATGATTAGTACTCACATAAGTGAAGTTCAAAGGATATTGAGAAACACAAGAAAAGCTAGTGTAAGAGGATATACTAAGCAACCTATAGAAGAAATACTAAATAGATTAGAATATCTAAAAAAACTCGGTTAACTCAATATATATTGAATCCAAATTATTAGAAACAAAAAGCCTCAAAGAAGTATTTTTTAAAAGAATATTTACACACACAGAAGCACATTATCAAAATGTCATTGACAGAACCAACTAAAAACCTTGAAAAAACTAAAAACCATACCCCACCACTACCAAACCCATCAGGTGCAAAATCACATACAAATATAAGAATGACTACGTACGATTTACTACTCCATAAAGGCACAAATTCTGATCTTTAATAACAAGCAATACTGTTCTCCTGTTCTTCTTCTGCTGTTCACATTAAAAACAATAACAATTTTACATTTGATGTGACCATAACTGTCTGCATAACATGGCCCTAGCTAAGTTGGAGATTTATTTGTTATATGAAAAAAATATATATTCAAAGAACTGCAATTAATCGTACGATATTGTACGACCATACAAGGCCAAATCAAACCACACCACACAGTACAATATCATACTGTACTCCCTTACAATGCCTTACTACATAATAGCATGAAGTACGTTACTATATCTCTGAGTAACCACCGTTTACGACGTCGTAAAATTAAACAACTTCTTAAATTACGTAAATCTAATTGTCATTACGTCTCACATTTCAATAACATTAAACATAAATAAGTCACTACAGACTACCGACCACAGTCACTAGAAATACAGATAGATAACCAAGTCAGAGCTAACTTTTGCTGATATAATTATTTTAGAAAATATAAAAAAAAAATTTATTGTCCTTAAACGTTAGCAAATTATAAGCGCATTTGTGGTGATTGTTCATATGATATTATCATACGCAATTTCTTGATTTAAAGCCACAGATTTCTTGATATATTATTTAACAAAATAAATTTTCTCAATTTTTCGTCCCGGAAGCAAAAGTCTACTATTGCCAAATGTAGCTCGCTACTCGCTACATGAGCTGCAACAAAAACAAAAACAATAGAAGATTTAGTAAAAAGCCAATGGGAATATCTATGAATTACAAATAAGGACATACTCTCAAATTCTGGTCGAAGTAGAGAAATGTAGAAGAAAACACAAACCAATACTACAATCTATGGCTAGATACAGAATGAAGATTTAACATTTCGTTAAGAGGATAATTCACAGTCTGACGATTTTCGAAAAGAGAGCCCTTGAATTGGATCAGAAAGTGCTATTGTCCATTTAAAATAAAAAAATACAATGGTTGGGAAACGCGATAAAAAGACATAAGAAAAACAGTAAAATGTATTCGAAGCTGAATGTTTAGAAATGTGCAATGGATATCATCCAATAAAATGGAAGATTGCCGGAAAAACCGGGGATTAACTGGAAAACAATTGTAAGAAATATAAATGTTTGAAGGAAAAGTTTGTAGTAAGTTTAAGTACTTAATAAAATGCTGTGTTCAATAATGGTTCCCGAGCTCTCCATTCTTTCATACAATTTTTAATTTTCATTCAATTGCCTAATCTTAAAGCAATTACAGATAGCTCAAAACCTGGCTTTAAGAAAACTGTTTAAGATTCCATGGTATATTAGATCAACAGACATACATAGAGATCTTAGGATTGACTCAGTGAAAAAATATATCAGTAACAGAGCTCGAAAATTATTCACTAAAGTTGATACGCTAATTAACCCAGCCCTAACAATCCTCAAGTCCACTTCTGGACTCTCAGAAAGATATGCTGATTCCGTCATTAACTAAAAGACAAATAAATTATATGTTTTTTTTTTTTAGCCTAGTTAAAGCCTAGTGTGGGGTAGAGATAAGTCCCCCAGCCATTATAGAGTAAAAGTGCGTAATAGCTAACTCAAGAAGAAGAAGAAGAATCAAGAATCAATCAATTGCCTAAAAATTACAAAAATATTATTTGAAATGCAAATGTCAAAAAAATTATTTTTTTTAAACAAAAACTATACAACCTAAAAAAGTAGGCTTTGGAATTGAAAAAAATTTGATACCCCTAATATATTTTGTTTGTCATTCATATATTTTTTGGCCCATTGTTATTCAAAATTAAATTGTAGGGAAATATAATACACAAAAAAAAAATGGCTCTATACAATAAAAAACCAAACGTACATACAATATTGCATATGATTTCTAAACATATGTATGCACATATAATTAGATTCAAAATAAGGCATATTCAAGTAAAACAAATATAGTAAGTACTAATTTAGAACTTCGGTTTTATTGATTATTGGACACATTATCTCTTTTTTAGAATAACGTTAACATCCATCTATTAAACAAAAAACAAAAATCAATGACAAAGGAATTTAAATAAAACCGGTAAGTTTGTCCAACCTTTTAGAAGTATATAAATATAAAATATATTATATAGTTTTATATATATATATATAACACAAAGGACATCGTTTGGAAACTATACATAATAAAACTATCGGATTGGTATGAAATCTTTTGCCCTCCAATTTTGATATTTACAAGTATTAAGAAGGATTAGCTAAATAGGTAAGATTGGTTCATAATATCCTATTCTTAGTATGTTTACTCTTTTACTAAACAAAATCTATATTTGTAAAAAACTGATCCACACAGAAGACTCCTCTACGTAAATTCAATTATTAAAGAAAGTCCAAAGTACAAATTTAAAAATTAAAAAAAAATTTATCTGTCATTTTCTACTTTCTACTTTTCTACATTCATTTTCTACTACATAACATAATACTATTTTCTACTACTTTCTACTTTAACTTGATCCCTTTTCCATTGTAAAAATCTTTGAATATGAAATATAGTACAGAAATATTTTGCAAAGAAAGCTTAACTCGACTATATGTTTCGAATGAATGTTTTCGAATATATTGCGAAAATAATTACAACTTATGGAACAATTCCTAGATCCAATGGCACTTGTCCAATGGCACTTGTAGTACATAATGGACGGCAGAAGCACAACAAGGTATTAATTATTAAGGACTTAAGCATTTCACGTTCTTGATAGGAGCTGCTTTAACATAGAAGTCAGCTTCATTACAACAAAGCCTATCAAATGCTATAACTTACATTAATTTCTGAAAAAGTGAGTGACATTAGAAAATAAAATCCAGGAGTCCACAATTCCGGTTCAGGAAAGTTAAAGCTTGTAAGTGTAAAAGCGAAATTATTTTAATCCTTAATTATGGTAACTCTTTTCTAACTTCATTATCCTGAGGGTTTTGAATTTAAATTTCGCGATCGCTGGCTTAAGTGGATATTGAATTAACAACTGAAAATCCTATACACAATCATTGATTAAGTATATTTGTTCCCGTAAAATGTAAAACTGGATTTGAGGAGTGAAGTAAATTATAACCGCATCAGTAAAAGAAAACGTTGATCATAAGTTTGAATCACTACCACTAATTTGGAAAATATGAACAGAGTGGAATTAGTTGGTGGGCTGTCATATTCTCCAAATGAAGGACCAAATTGTAACCAATCAGTCGCCACACTCAATCGTCCTATTACACAATCAATGATTAAGTTTATTTGTTCTCGTCAAATGTAAAACTGGGTGTGAGAAGTGAATAAACCTTTATCGCATCTGTGAAAGAAATCAAGAAATCGATGATCATAAGTTTGAAACACTACCAGTAATTTGGAAAATATGAACAGAGTGGAATTAGTTGGTGGGCTGTCATATTATCCAAATGAATAACCAATTTGTAAATGATCTTATAAAATGTAAAAGGAACTGTGAGGCGTGGAATTAGTCTGGGAAGTGTCATATTATCCGAAGGAAGGATATCAGTTTTAAACCTATCAATGATTTGGGATTTGGATTTGGGTAAGTTTGATTTATTTCATACTAGTAAATAAGTGGTGCTTAGTCGTAGTTCAAAAATATTTATTCAGTGAAGTAGTTATATACTGATATTTTTAGTATTAAAGGATCTTATTTCAGGTGTAATTGCGTTAAATATTTTTTAATTTGTTAATGAAATGTTATGTTGGTGCAGTTCCTATATATGAATGTCCATGTATTAAATTATATGTGATGGCTCTTTATTTTGAATCTTATTAAATTATTATTATTTTTATTTAATATCTTTTTGTTTAGTTATTATTTTATTTTTATACTTATTATTTCAGTTTTCCTAAAATGTTTGTGGAATTCAAAAAATCTATTTTTGGGTTGAACTATCAATGGAATCATATGGATGGCGTCTCTAGATTAAAACCTAATAGTTTTGTTATTAGAAAAATATAAGTAATATTAAAAGTGCTTCCTTTTGGTTGACGATTAATGGTGTCACAGGAATGATGTCACTAGGATGATTGTAAAGGATAGGATAGTGACATAAGGATGTTCCCTGTGTGTTTTCTAATTGTTGCTCATAAGAACTATTTGAAACTATTTAAGTTGAATATTATAAAATTGAAATAAGTGTCCATTTTATGTATATAAATTTTATTGTAGTATAAAAATATTTTATTTTTAAGAAACAATTTTTAATATTTCTTCTTAATAAAAAAATTAAAAAAAAAGAAATCTTATGAATAAGTTAACTTTGGTTTTGTCAATACTTGAATACCCTATACATAGAGTTATTGAGAAGTCAGTAGTGACAATTAGGACCATAAGTACATAGGGCTCCCATATTAAAATCGAATATGACTGGAATAATTTTTGACGATAATGGTTGATTTAATTTAATTTAATTCACGGATTTGGATTTTATAATTTATATGAGTGTTTCACGACTAAGGAGACTCATTGTAAGGATCGATTAAAACAATTTCGTTTAGCACTATAAACCATGACATTATCCATTTAATAATAATCATTATCTTTTTTGTCATTAATTTTTTTATATTTTTTTTGTACATCTGTCCAATCGTTCTAACTTGTAGTGGATATATGGATGTAATCTTCTTTATAGTATTTAAGAAATCAAATCAAATTAATATTTTTCAATTGCAAGAATGGAACCAATCGCTTCGTACTGTCGGTATGTCAAAAATCTTAACTTTAATAAAAGTTGATATCGATATTTATGCATATATTTAGTTTCAGTTTATATGTATATATTAGTTTTAAATAATTTAACAAATTATTTAGATGGTTCAGTTTAAACATATGGGATGTAATTAATTAATTCCAGTTCTTCCAAAATATAACCTAGGAACATTTCTATGATGTACTTGTTTATATACCATCCAGATCATGTTAAAATATTTCAAGAGATGAAAGAATATTACTAAATCGATATAGTATTTTACAAACAGATCGCAAATGTGTATATTGTACTTTAGAAAATACTGTACGAAGATTTAGAGACGAGTATGTAGGGTGTAAGATACTGACATTGAATAAAAAATGAAACTACTAAAATATTTTCAAGCGTTTATTGATGTGGATTCTTTGAAGAATTCATGCCGAACTACATTTTAGAGACTAAAGAATATTTAATCAGCAAAGAAGACAAAGATTATACTGTCAGTCAATAATGAATAACAAGGATATCTGCTGATTGTCAATTCTTAAAACAGTTCCAAAACAACTAGAGTATTCCATATAAATTTACTATTTAATTTTAAACTCGTAAATACCGAAACACGACTTCAAAAAAATATATCAGTTCATATTTTTGCGCCCCAAGACTAAAATTCATAAATTGCGTTTATAGTTTATTGGACACTTTGGGTATGACTGTAGACTGTAGTTAAAATATCGGTGACAATAATATATATTTTTTAAAAGTAATTTTAACAGTTGTATATGACTTGACCTTGACCAACAAGTCACTTCAAAAATATATAAATTGCGCTATAAATTGTTTGATTAACTTATCCACTAAACTTTGATATTAGTAACTAGTCTTTGGTACCGGATGTGAAACTTTAGATTGGAGAAAAAAAATTTTTTCAAATGAAGTGATGTTATACTTCGTCGACGCCGTGTTTTGAAAATTTTGATCTTATTTGCACATCTATGTATATACATATGTTATATATATAAAATATATGATTTCATATGTATTCTATTAATATAATATAATATAATATAATATATATACAATATATAATATAATATATAATATTATAATAATATATAATATAATATATAATATTATAATAATATATAATATAATATATAATATTATAATAATATATAATATAATATATAATATTATAATAATATATAATATAATATATAATATTATAATAATATATAATATAATATATAATATTATAATAATATATAATATAATATATAATATTATAATAATATATAATATAATATATAATATTATAATAATATATAATATAATATATAATATTTTAATAATAGATAACATTATATTATTATAATAATATTATAACATATATTATAATAATATAAAATATTATAATATTATTAAATAATGTAGTG